ACCCTCTCACCACGAATGGGCTTGGCTGGAGACTCACAAATTTCTTTTCAAATTGAGTATAATACATTTATAAATCAGTGTAATATGATGTGGTAAACTTTAATAAACAAGTTCTGGACATTGTCTCTCAGAATTACCTTAAACTTTCACATGCCCTGTTCTTCTGCCAGGTGAAACAGGCGAAGCTTCCTTCCTGAGAGACTCCAGAAGTTCAGCAGCACAACTAGTAGTTATCCTACAGGTGGAAATTTGGCCCTGATACACAAATGATCCATCAGTGCAAAAATGCCCTCAAGGAAGCAGAAAAAAAGTTACAAGATCTACCTGAACTGTATCTCAGAGGGAACAAATAAAGTACACTGAGTAACCGGATTCTTGACCAACGACTGGGGGGGAGCAGGGGGATGTTGCAAATCTGGTGACAGTCAAGGCTTGCTTATACACGCAAAGAATTTTGCTGTTTCCCTCTTGCACCTATTCATAGAAAAATAAATTTCTCTTGTGCCATGTGAGATCTCTTCCTCCACACCCACCCAGGTTACAGGGTCAAGACTTCTGCCCCTCCCTGCCCCCCCCCCGCAGCACTCCTCCCTCTAGGGAATCCTACGCAGACATCTTTAAAATGACTGGGAACAGTCACAAAAATTCTCCAGCCCTGCTCCTCCTTTCTTATTCTCAATGATTCTAGATGCAACTGACATATTCACATCAGTTTCTTATTGCGTAGTGGTTATGCATCCCTTGGTGTTTTTTAAGAGCTCACACCATCTTCTACCTCCTTTCCTTCAGATTATTACCAGAAATTAGGAGGGGTTTGGTTTTAAGAAATTAGATCCTTAAGATATTTATTCTGATTCTTCTGAAGAAAGCTTAAATCCCAGGATAAGGCAAAAAAATCCTTTTTTACAACCTTCATTTTGTGAGGAACTACAGCAACGCTTTATATGAGTCAGCAATGGACTGAGCACTGCCATGATCACTACTTCCAGTTTCTGTATCGTAGTCTTAATTTATATTGCTTTCCATTAAATTATTCATTATTAGAAAATTTATACCAGACTGCTTAGTACCTGAAATAGTCCGATACAAATTCAGTTTTTACGGGCTCCAAGTCTGAAATTTGTTTCTGAATGAGAATCAAAACAGGAATAAAACAATTCCTACAAGTTCTACTGCTATAACTGAAAGGCAGTGGTGTAACTAAGCACTACAGCTTCATGCGCTCAAGTTTCTTTTTTTTGAGCATGAATTTAAATTACTACCTTTACCCTTATCTAAGCAGGTATGCAAATATGCTTTTCCATTCACATTGGAAAAAAGAGATGATCAGTATCAACAGACAAATCTGAAAGTACTGTTAGTTATTTTTCACCAGAAGTTATCTATAGCCAGTTTGAAGGTGCTTACAAGTAGAGCGGATTTTGCTGTACTAGTCAAACACTCGTTAGTCCCTGCTTGTGACATATGAACTGCTTTGTTGCTGATGCTATGGTTCATCTATCCAAATAGTTCACATCTTGTCCATTTCCTACAGGAAAGCCATCATTATCTCATTCCGATTTATTATTAATGCGGAACTGGGCATTATAGAAGGAACTGGGGGCGATTTGGCTGTATTGAGCCAAATAACGGCGTTACAGCAAATGTAGTTTCTGAATAAAGCAAAAAGTGTGTTTATTGCAGAGAACAACAGTAGAAAATTCTTGCCTTTACAGAAAAAAAAAAATAATGGCACTGAATATTCTAGTGCTTCTCCTAACCATTATGTATGCAGCAATTTAACCAGCCCTGAACGTATTCTTCAAGTTTTGCTATAAATAAAAGAAAGGTACTAAATCCTGAGCTAGGAGGATGACAAACTTCCTGCCACTGAACTTGTTTCTAGCCAGTCTCCAGTATCTTTCTGTGCTTCAATACAAATATAGAAGTTTACCGACTTACTTAATAGAAACGAACACAGGGGGATGAATTGTTACTGAAATCTGATCCCAGCAGTGTTCCAGATACGATGATACAAGTAAAAATATAGCTCCAGTAACGCAGCCAGGTCAAAAGCAACTCATTCCAAAGAGACAGACTCCTTCCCTGTTCCGCTTATTTTGCCCTCTCTCATTTGGTGACACCTTACCTTTATCGAAGACAGAAGGACCATTTGTTTCTAGTTATACAATCTCTTTAGGTTTCTGTAAGTTCTGTATCATTTCAAATAGAAATGCAATCATCAGCGTGGCTGTTGAGGCTTGGTATCGTGATGTATACCTGAGGACTGCAGAACTGGTTTGACTTTAAACCGTGTTCTCCCTTGAACATTTAAGTGATCTTACTTTCCTTTTCAAAGACTAAATGTTAAAAAAAAACAACAACAACACAGAACTCAGCATACAAAACCACAAAGCTCTGCATTCCACTAGATACTTAACTCTTAACACGTTATTTTTTCTAACAGATCTTTCTTACTCTTCCTTCTCCCTTTCCCTAAAAAAATTTTTTTCATTTTGCCGCTGTGAACAGCCCAAATAACTCTGACTTCTGAGAGTTGAGCAAAATGCAGCAAAGCACATTAATTTTCACTGCTGTTTAGTGTAAGGATTCATCTACCATGAGCATTCCTCTTAAATGCTTGTGTCTCATCTGCATGGTTCTCCATTTGGAAAAAGCTGCCTTTGCCATTGTAACCTTGTGCTGCCGTATGCAATAGCCCAAGGTCAGTCAAGGACAGGGAAGCAGCAGAAAGTAACAACCCAGAGACATTTTATAAAGCTAAGGGAAGGTGGACCTTTAACTACTCAACGGTGAATTTCTTTTTGGATCATTCATTAAGTCTTGTTTCTAATGTACCCAACTTCTTCAAACACAAAACCAGCCCATCCTTCCCAATTAAAAAAAAAAATTTAAAAAAAATGTACTTTGAACTCCCCATCTGTTACATCCCACAGGGGACAAATACCACTTTCAGGGACCCCTCCAAATTTTGTGTTCAGGTGCGAAGCAGACAGTCATTAAGTACTGACAATGCAAGTTTCTTCATGGCCGAGATGCAGCATCCGGCACTTTCAAGCGCCACTTCAAAACTAAAACACCGACGTACTTCCTGAAGGTGCTCTGCAGATCACCAGCTGCCCACAAAGAGCTAGTATATATGTTCCAACGTGCGACCATTCTAATTTAAAAAAAAAATGTGTTATAGAACTTGATACACTGCTTTGAAAATTTCTCTGAAAACTTGACACATAGAGGAAAAAGATAGGAAAGCATCACCTTTACAAAGCACTCCTGAAAAAACAGAAACGTTAAGTGAATCAGCAGGACAGAACGTTTCATTAAACTTCACTCACTCTAACTTTCTGCTATTAAATGCTTCCAAAAGAATTCTGGCACTGAGCTGAATCTCCTAGGCTGGTCAGGCCAACAGAAGACTTTTGTGCCAAAATTACCAGGTTAGGATACTGTGCGATGAGTTTAAGGACCCAAATTCTGCCTACCTTTTAGGGATTTAGTAAAAGGAGCTCTCCTAAAATAAGCCTCTCCAGAGGTGTGTCAATGTCTGTCATACTCATACCCAAGTTAAATCAAAGTTAAAAGGGTCATTTCAAGAACGCCAACTGTCTAGCTACGATTAGGCAACTCATCTCTCAAGTTATTCACACAAAACGATGAGAGTATTCAAAACCCCTCCTCACAGGAACGATAAACCCATAAACTGACCAGTGCTTAGAAACAGCACTTGGATGATTCTGTGAAAAAGTTCAGACAGTTCAACCTCCCGTGACCGTAGAGTCTCCATTAACAGACTTTCAACAAGGTCCATCAGAGAGCAGATCAGCAGCAGTGTGCAGGACTACCAAGTACCTGTCACTGGGTAACAACATGGACTTTCTTCTCGTGAGGCTACAAGGCTGGTTACAGCCCTCTGCCTTCCATCACCAAAAGCAGAGACTTAGTTTAAATTTTATTCCAAAACCAAGTTCATGATGCAGAGAGCAGCCCCCTCATATTTGGCTGTAGCAAGCCCCTCACTAGAGCAGCAGCGGCATTTCTCTCAGTGCAGGTCTTCACTACTATTTAGTCAGCATACAGGGTTTTGGTAATCCATCTTCCATTTCTGAATACAGAGAGGGTTGACTGCTTTCATGTTTTCATTAAAAAAGGGAACTGGAGATTTCTTCACGAAGAATAAATAGAACTCTAGATCAGGCAACAGTCATTTATTTATTGACTTAAACAAGCAAAAGGTATCTGCAGACATAGTGGCCACCACTTGAGCAATACAAATCAACACTACCGAGGAACAGGGAACAGCTTTTCTCTCACCCCTCCCATCCCAGAAGTAACAATAGACATACCAGGGCCCCTGGAGAAAAGAGAAGGAGAAAAATTATAAAAGGTGCTTGGAATGAGCTGCAGAGTTGAAACGTGAACAATAAAAAAAAAAAATCATTAGCTAACGCACCGTATCACCACAATCACCTCAAAAATAACTGTTATTGTTCCATTTCTTCCAGGTACCAAATCTATAGTGCTGTTTAACAGCTATTTCAATGTATCAACAACTGTCCTCAGCTGAAGCAGAACAGCAATTACTACTTATATTAAATTTGAGGCTGCAGACAGAAAGAAAAGTTTCCACAGAGTACGATGCAAGTTTTCTCTACTTCATTAAAACAGAGTGGGGGAGAAACAAAGCTACTTTTAACAGTTATGTCCATTTCTATCCATCAAGCAATTCATTCCGTATGGATAGCCTGTTACAGACACAAGATCCTGCTAGAGTATGGCAACGCTACTCACCCTGTGACAGTGCATCTGAAGAATGTATCTGCAAGTCCCTTAAGTTGTGGGCCACCGAAAGTCCCAGCCTGCTACTCCTGGGTGGTTATTTTTTAATCAGACATCACCAAAACATCAAACGGACTGCATGCAAATCATTCAGTCTTCCTTGGAACAGTTGGAAATAGAGTAAGGCATTCCTCAGATTTAGAGAAAACATTAGGAGGCTGTAGTTTTGCAGGCAAGGAGACCTTTTATTTTAATCCATTAAAAGAACCCAAAATAGTCAGCAGGTGGCCACATCTATCCATGTTTCATTAAAATCACATAAACCCTAAGTACAAAAGCACCACTGATTATTGCTCTAGAAAAACTGCATGAAAAATTCAAATACACACAGTAAAAACATCACCATATGCACAAGACTTGATTTCTTAAAGCAAGTGTATGGAATGCTGATCCAATTTTACACATACCTTGCAATATTAAGTTGATATTTATATTACTTGGCAACAACGGGAATTTCTAAAAGCACTGTTATGAGAAGGGAAATGTTCATATCATATACAGTTTAATATGTCAACTATCATAGTCCTAAAAAAATTAGCATTTACAAAATACTTGATAAAAATATCTTTTAAAAGTTGTCCAAGAGGTACATAAAATCAACCCAAAATTTTCATGATATTTCATTCATTCTTGTCACCTACAGATTCAGTTTTCTGAGCCTGGGGAGAAGAAAGAAAGAAAGAAAGAAATTAATTACTACAGTACATTGCCATTACATACCTAAATACCCAAACTACCCCATGTCCTTTGATTTCTTATTTGCAGCAGCTCCGTTTCAAGCCTCTGTCCGTATTACATTTACACAAACACAACAGGTACATCCACACCCTTCTCTTAAATCATTGGTCCCAGCTTTTCAAAAGCAATACAAGCCTTACCTGCCAGCTTCCATTGTTCCTACTGACAAGCACCACACTACTGCCTGTTTCTAGTCACTGCACACATGCTGAGTGCTCTACCGTACCCTCAACTTTCACTCTTTCAATCTGCCCTTTACTGAGAGTGTGCTGGGTGGGACACCTCTGGAGGTTGAAACACTAACAGCTGAGCGAGAGATGCGAATCTGCAATAACATTATGGGCAATAAAAAGAAACATTATGAACATGCTATCAATGTCTGAAAGGCTGAATAATTAAAAAACACTGATTCAATCAGCAGGAGGTATGTGTGGCAAGTACCTCTTCAGCTTTATTGTCACCATTTTCAGATGGTGTAGTACCTTCCTTTGCAGCTTCTTGCTTTTCATCCTTCTTCCCTTTAGCACCTTTGTTGGCCTTTGTTCCAGGTTCCTTCTGACAGAAGATTAAAAACATGGGCACAGACATTGTATGAGTAGCCAGCACCCTACATCTGTATCAAAAAAACATCATGGGAACTATAACGCAAATCTCGGCAAGCTGGACGTGCTGGACGGAAACAGAAAACCAGCCAAAGACTACCCGGAAAAATGTATATCCACAGAAGTTATATAGACTCTCAACATTTCTAGAAAATGCTGATGTCTGCTTCTTTATTGTTTCTGCTAATTTACAGGGACACAAAACCCCCTCCAACTATTTTGGTCCAACTGAGCTGCATATACAGAGTTATACACAAGATATCTGCATTAACAAATCCAGTTACAGTATTCTGGAAGCTTATTCAGCCAAGCACAAACACCACACTTTGTGTAACAGCACCACACTTTCGATTAACATGAACTATTAGATTTTAAAAATTAAGCATTTTTGTTGGCTGCCCTTTTGTTAGTTTGATAACATCTGTGATGTTCATTCCATGTCAATGAAAGAACCAACCAACACACTAGGGAGGCAAACTGATAAAAATCCATCTGCAGCAACACAAAGCAGAGAATTTATCAGAAGGAACCATTCTAACAGCTACAGTTTCATTTGGAGATTTGCTCTTAAACAAACAATTCATATTTTGAAGTCTACTTTCTTCTTAAATCCTTTCTCTATGTACATTATTTATGTTTGTGATCTAAGGCTAGTAGAGAGACAGGGTACGGATTTTAAGTGCAGTGGAATAAAAAAATTAAGTGTACATGAAGCTATAGGAACTACCAGACTCCCATCTGTATTAACACTCTTTTTTAAGAGGGGAGCGGGATGGACTCGGTGAGACTTTATTGGTAATTTCATTTGATAAATCATAAAATGGTCAAAGTCATAGTTTTACTTTCACATACAGACTTGGTATCACGATACTTGCCCAACTGAGATACCAATAGAAGGACTTGAAAAATGTAAGTGGGAAGGGTGTTAGACTCCGTTTCCAGCATGTTTTTTTTCCTGATAAAGCAATTGCTTTTATTTAACATTCCCCTTGGGCACAAATAAATCTACAGTTTCTGAAGTACATGATTTATATGCAGAAATAATGAAAAGGTATTTCAGACACTAATAAGATTTCAATTTTACCATAACTGGCCTAGAAAACCCAAACCATTCAAATTAAATATATTTAATTTCACCTTTAATTATAATTGTGCATTCTCAGCAACGGCCAGGCTTCAAGAACAGATAAGGGTTTCTCACTATGAAATTAAGTACTGCCCCTCTAGACAAGGAAACAGGATGGCATAGAGTAATTTCAAATCCTACGCAGAAATTGCTAGGTCTCAGGTGGAGCTTATTCAAACAACCCTGTACATTTCAGGAAGGATAGAAGAAAGATTCTTCTTAAACTAGGAAATCCCTGTCAACTAACAGTCTGCATATCAAACAGGCCAGACATTCTGTGTGGGCCAGTAATGAGGCCCGGAAGGGGTGGAACAGAAAGAAAAGAATGATCTAATTTGGGCTTTGGTTGGTTGTTGTGTTTTTCCGGTTTTTTTGGACCGGGTCGGGGGAGGAAGGGGCGGGCAGGGAGCTGTGGGGAGGGCAGGGGAGCGGATGCCTCACAAACCCACTGTGATTTTAACTGCTTGCAATGCAAAGGAGGAATATACTTGCTTACTATTGGCTACAACGATGGCAACCAAAAATAAAGTATTTACCTTTGTGGTTTTCCTTGGTTTGGGTTCAGGTTTTGGTGGAGCAGGCTTCTACAAAACATTTGGAGTTGCACAAGGTGTTAGACATGTTACCAAAAGCCAGCCAGCCACCTCCACACCCCAGCTTTCCCCCACACCACGCTTTCTGCTGATTCAGTATGCATCTAGGAAAAGACTGGAAAACATCAATGCACACGTGCACCTCATCGCTGTCCACACCCATTTTCCTCCTCTCCCTCATCTAAGAGTCAAAGCAATTTGGGGGGCATTCTAAGAGTAAAATGTGGACATCATTACTAACTATTTAAAAAAAAAGAAAAAAGTCATATATGTTCTAACAGAGAAGAAGAACTAAAACCAAACACTAGTAGTGGCACCAAACGAAGTCCCTGAAGGACAGTTCTTCCTCCTTCCCAGGGAAGTAGCTGCATTTCCACCACTAGCACAAGCCTGCAAAACGGTACAAAGTCAATACTGCACGTAACAGTGTTGCACTGAGGTGGGGAAAATACATCTTTTATCAGAACAACCCCAAGCCTGAAAACCTGAAACCAAGAAAACATAGGTAACTTTAGCTCTAGAGTTCTTAAATACCCCTCAGCAAGAATAAAAATTGAACCAAGCAAAATACGACAAACCTGTTTGGTCTGAGAAATGGAATGTGCCTTAAAAAGCATAAAACAAGAGGTGTTACACATACTTACAGCCGACAATCTTGCTGACCGTCTTGTGGGCTACAGAAAAAGAAAAAAAGACAACGTTTTTCTAGGCTTACAGCAAACAGTATCCAAAGCAACACAGCATCAGTAATTTCACGGTGACAGCATAAAATATGCCCCTACCCATACACACCTCTATTGCCAGACACAATTCACATCTTCCTCATTTTGGATGATCAAAAATTTGAAAGGGACAAAGTGATGTGAAAATTAGTAATAAAAATTGTTCAGGAATTACAATGTCTAAATCTCCATATGGTTAAACACTTTTTTTTTTTGGCACCTATTTTACAAGTGCTTCTGAGTCCCTTGCTGCTCTGTGAAAGGTTCACAAATACAACAAGCTTGACTACCTGTGCACAGAACGCTGAACCTCTTATAGATACTGGGTAAAAATATCATCTGATTAACAGCAGAATAAAGTTAATATCCTTCCCCAGAGGATACCACAGCCCTAAAATTTCAAAACATGAAACTAAGTCCTTCCACTTCCTCAGTTCCCCACACACTCAATCCAAGAGTCCAGGTGCACAAAGACAGCTGCAGGTCGAGAGGGAGAAATTATTTCTTCTATTTAAACACAATTCTCAAAAGGAAAGAAGTCAGTCAGTTATTCTGCTTTCCTCCACCTTACTTTATCACTTCAACACACCTTCCTTAATAATTCTTATTTCACTCTGTTGTTTGTTAAAGACAAGCTAAGCCTTAGAAATTGTTGTAAGCTCATTAGTTTGTTCACAATATTTTTGTATTCATTAAAACAGACGAACCCACAATCCAGGCACACAGCATGGTTAGCAAACAGTTAAAGTTTGGTGTGTGTCTTAAAACTGGAATCACACTTGCAGCCAAAATAAAGGGACAACTCAACTGCAACAAATATCCCATGTCACACAGCTTAAAAAGTGAATAAAAAAAATCTTCTTAATTACATATTAAGCATTCAAGTTGAGCTGAAAAAACATGGCACCACAGATCCCGCAACAGGAAAAAGCTGTTGGTAATATCTGAAGAATGCGGTAACTTGTATTCATTGGAGCCATTTAAGTATTCTTAGTGGAAAGCAGTAGCAAATAGTTCCAATCTGCACCCAGCAAAATAGAAGTCTTGTCCAAAAGCACCTGAAGATATGTTCAGCTATCAAATATTCATGCATCATTAACAAAAAAAAAAAGTAAACCTCTTTTTGTCTTGGCAGTTTAGAATATCAATGGCTTGTCAAGCAGCCCAGCGCTATTTTACAGCAGGTTAAATTAAGCATTTCACTTGGTCAGGTAATCAAAGAACTCCTAGCTCAAGGCATCTTTTACAAATCTGTTTTCTTAACTGATGCTTTCTGTCCCTCAGCATTTGGGCACTGGAATGTTTTGTTAGCATCTACTGTATAAATGATATTATATTGTTTTAGATAAAATATAATTCCCTCCCATATTACCCAACTGTTCCTGTTCCACAACTGGTTTCGTAGAAGGCTTGTATTGCCTTAAGAAGTCAACATAAACCCTCAGTTCTTCAAAAATACCTGGCAGGTAAGGAATTTTAATTCTTATTCAGAGTTTGTATGTCTTTTGTGTTACCCAATTATAAGGAGGGAACTGCAGTCAAGTCAGCAAATATCACATTTTAATGTGCTTTGGGAGCCCTTGTCCCCCCTTCAGACATCTGTACTAAGCCGGGAACTAGCAGCTTGCCCAGCAGTCTCGCTGACAGCGTCCCACCAGCCAACACCTGCGGAAAGAGCCTATGAAATGGAGCAGACACAGAACAACGCTTTGCACTTTCCTGCTGTGCCAGCTTCTGGCAGTCTACAGCTGAGAACTTTCCAACCTGGATATTATATCCACATCACGTGTTTAACAGTCTCTGAAGGTAACTTTCTCCATACATTTGTCTAATACCCCAGTGATCCCATTTGCACTTTCAGTTTCCACAACATCCTGCGGAAATGAGTTCCGTAACAGACCCAGGGAAGCTGTGGATGCCCCATCCCTGGAGGGGTTCAAGGCCAGGCTGGATGAGGCTTTGAGCAACCTGGGCTGGTGGGAGGTGTCCCTGCCCATGGCAGGGGGGTTGGAACTGGATGATCTTTAAGGTCCCTTCCAACCCAAACTATTCTACGATGCTTATTATGCTCTGTGTGGAAAAGAAAAAGCAAAACTTTTCCCCCTCTGTTGTCTTTTCTGTAAACTTCTTGCCTCTTACTTTCACTAGATTCCTCTTGTTTTCAGGTTACATGAGTAATAATTCCCTAACTGCCTTTCTCTGTGTTATTGATGATTTTATCATGCCTCTGTTACATATTAAAAAAAAAAAAAAATCAAGAATCCTAGAAAATCTGGGTTGTGGTTTGTTTTATTTTTTTTTAAAGCTGCTCTACATCCTCTGTTTGTCCCACTCGACTCAGTATCCTTTTCATTCTATCATGGCCTTTTTAAGGAAAAGTCAGGAGAGCTTAATTTAGTAGTCCCACATCTGGGAGCACAACAAATTACTTTAGTGATACACTGATGTTTCACATTTCGCCCTCTAGTAATTTCTCCTATATTGTAATTATGTTTTATTTAGAGGAACTGACATTTTCTAATAACTATTCTCTCTTATTTCACAATTCACTGATTAACAGCTGATTTGGTGACCAGCACTGTGTCTTCCCCTCCTCCCTGTGTATTAATTTGCATTTCTCTATACTGAATTTCTATTAATATTTTATCACCTACTCATCAGTGACATAACAGCTTTCTCAGTCTCTCTCACTTCTGACTACCCTGCTTATTTTTTTGTAAACTTCATCAAACTTGGTCATTTCTCCAGTACCTCTTTTCCTAGATCATTAAGTAATGTATTCAGCAGCACAATCCCAAACACATATCCTTCCAATAATTCACTGTTAAATCTCCTCCATAACTACTTCTTCCCTGCTCTCTTTTCCTATCTTTATTTGTTACCAGTTCTTAGGAAGATCTTCCCTTTAACCCACGCTAGATTAGTTTCTTTAACAGCCTGCTTGGGGAGCCTTATCAAAAAGTGCTCTTAATATGCAAGTGAATGACACCAACTGGCACACTATCATTGTATCTGTCGACTTCTACAAAGAACTCAACTGCCTCAACTATGACTTCTCCTCCAAAAGCCGTGTCAACTCTCCCATTATACATTTGTCCACATATCCTTTTTAAAAAAAAACAAAACAAAACAAAACACAAACAAACAAAAAACACAAAAAAAACCCCACCTACTTTTTCAAGTTAGACTCGCTTTATTTTCCAGAATCCCTTATCTAAAGTCCTGGGAGCATGTCATCACCTTCAGTTACTCTAGTACCGAGGCCAATGCAGGCAGTAAATTACATACTGCACTGAACAGGTTGGCAATTGCTGGTGAATACTGTCTAGTCCTTGCTCACACTCAAAGAATGTCCTCCAGACTCTACACCCATGAGAAAAGGCTCCACTGTGAGAACCTCCTTAAGAATTCTCCACAGCCAGAGTTTCATTCCTGTTTTTCAGCTTCACATTTGCCATGCTGCAGGGTTCGCTTCTTTCCTCATTATTTTGCATCAATACAAAAAACACCTCTCAGAAATAATAAATTTCCCTTATTTTGCTATTAAGCCATTCTGGGGGGTTTTTTGGGCGAGGGGGGGTGGTGGTGTTGAAATACAAGATGCATTTCTGCAAGCCTCTAGCATGGCATACCGCAAAGCCTCTCTGCCGCCTGAAACCACTAAACAAACTTTTTAGCTGCTTCTTTTAGTACACTCTCATTTTAAATAAAATTCCCTTTCTTGGTATCAAATCTTACCACAGCAGTTTATTTGCACTTACATTCCTGCAAGGATGATGAACCTGAATATATGAGGTCATAATTACAGAATAGTTCTGACAACTGTCTTTTTAACTAGCTACAACATACTACTGAGCATCAAATAAAGAGCTGATTATACTTTTATTAGTCCTTTGATTTGCTCCTCCAGGAAGAAAGCATTTATAGTTTTAACTTTTTTGTCTTTGTATAGCTGTATCTACTGAGACCATATTAATTTGGTTTTTGTTTGTTTTGTGTTGGTTTTTTTTTCCTCCCCTAGCATCAACAGCTGCTATTATCTCACCTTGACTGAAGACAACTCTAAGAGCTCTCGTATTTCAGAGTTAGCAGGCTCTCTCCTGCTTTTTGGTCTTTCTTCTTTATTCTAGCAATCAAGTCTCAAATTTTTAGGGGAAGGAACTGTCACTTTTCTGGCTCTTGAAGAAGTAATACTTAAAAATTTGGAGAGAGAAAAACATTCATTCCAAGCAAAGGAGATTATTATTTTTACTATGATTTAGTCAGCCTTTTCATACTTTATGAAAAAAAAAACCTAATTTGTCTTCTAGGAAATTCCACAGGAAGATACTCTGGTATCAAAATCTATTTTGCTCAGACATCCTTTTTACTCTACCCGTTTCTTTCAGGAGCTTACAGTAAACATCTCTATTGTTTGAAATATTTCCACATTTCTACTGCACCATCTTTTTCTGGCAGACTGCACAACCACCAATTTCTCAATTCAGAAAGTGTAAACCTTCATTAGACTATTCTTCCCGTTCAAATATGCTCAAAGATTTACAAGAGCAATTAATTGTTAATTCATTTGAATAGTCACCTATTCTTTTCAAGGTCCTGATTTAACTGTCTGCCACAAAAGATGTCAACCTAAGAACATTAATCCTCATCATTCTCTACCTGTTTTTTAAATTCACATTAAGGGCCATGCCAAACAACCTAGTAAACTTGGCCGTAGAGGTCAAGGTATCACCGGCTGTCTCCTTCCCTTCTCTGACAGAAGTTACTCAAAACAAATTCGGAGAAAGAAAACACACAAATGTGTCAGCTGCTCCAGTTTAGAGCCTGGCATCTTAATTCAAGACACCCTTTAATCAGTCACTTAAGCTAAGAATAGTTGTGAAGTAGACTGGCTGAGATGTGTGCATTAACCTTCTGCCGACCTGCCAGAGACAGAGCAACAGTTCCAGGCAGCAGCAACCTCCACTTCTGCCACAATATCCACCAGAGCTTGTCTATCAAAGCCCTCAGGGTTTCTGAAATGCATTCTGTGTACTGGCAAGTTGCATGAATCCTCAGTACACCAAAACCAAATGATGACAGATAAGCTACAAACGTGGTTTATTGTCATTACTCCCACTGAAAATCTCACTAGAAGTGTCAGAGCAATTCATACTCTTCTGACATGCAAGATTGCAGATTTCCACTTAAATAATTACATGCCAAAATAAATAAATAAAAAAAAAAGACACTTGCCTCTTGTTTAGTTACTTTTGCTGCATCCTTGCCTTCAGCACCCTCTGGAGACTGAAAGAAAATATTAAGTCAGTGTTTTTATTACAGACTTAAAAGCATCCAGACAACAGCAAAACAAAGATTATGGTGAAGATTCTTCTTTCTATACATTGCAGTAACTTCAAGAAGCCTGGCAAATTTACATTGGTAAAGCAGCATTGTACCAAAGCCATTCTAGATTCTCCAGGCAAGACCACACGGACTGATCATGACGAGGTACATAGATATCATCTCACACAGCATCCCTCCGTGGTCTCTCCAGCCAATTAACGAAAGCATCCGCAGGCTCCATCCAGGGGGAGCTCCAGCTAATCAGCAGTTGGCAGCACAGCAGTATGAACTGGAAATACGAGGTTTACTCTACTAGGGCTTTTGAAATCCCTGAGAAATTTAACACGTTTCTTCCAAAACATGAACTTAACTAGTAATGAGGTGTGGTGAGATGAGCCAAAAAAGCACAGCACTACTGAAATGAGTGATTTCTTTACCTCATTTACTCCTTTTGTGCCTCAGGCTCACTCAGTTGGAAGCTTTAACAGTATTTTTCCCTTACCTCATCTCCTCCATCAGAACAGTAAAAATCCATAAAACACCAAGCCATTGACAGGAAAGCTAGGGACACACATATCTCCCCACAAGAACAAAGTATCAACCTGACCATTCTAATGCTGGTCTTCCAGAGGGACTCAAGGAAAGCTAGTTAAACCACAGGGGTGGGGTGCGGGGGATAAATAAAATCAAGCTTCTGTCTTTTGTTTACAACTCAAGATGTATTACTTCACGTTTTGCAAATCACTGATTTTCCACCTAGGAGCAAGCGATTCTTGGAAAAACAGCGAACAGCAGCAGTTAAAGAAGGGAACATGTTTCAAAAAGGCGTTTAACAGGTAGCAGAGAAGGCAATTTAGTCGCTGTTTTGTTTTTCAATCAGTAAAGGCACAGGGTAGTTATCTTTTCCCTTCTCTTTCCATTTCAATCCTAACCCAGATCTCCCTCCAGGTTTTGACTCAGAATGTCTTGTAGTTACACAGTTATGGTTTGGAGTAGGGAGACAGACCAGCTAGTTTGCAGCAGCTGACCACTGCCTTCTCCTGGCACTGGCTCTAACATCAAGACAGCCCTCACCAGAGAATAAAACACGGCTTTGCTACTGTGTGCTCTCCTGACAGAAAGGAAGCATGCCACAAAAGCAGCTGGTTAAAAAAAAACAAAGTCGAGGACTGATCATGTAAGCAGCTAGAGAACAGCAGGAAGTTAAGCAGCACTGCACAGAGCAGAGCAACTCAGAATAGCAACAGAGTCAGGCATCCAAAATGGAGCCCAAGCGACCGTCCCCGGCGCTGCGGCAGCCCCTCCGGCCCCTGCACGACTGGTTCAGGCTTGCATTCCTAAAAGCCTTTCAGTTCCGTTACTGAAGAGCTGCTACAGCTTGATGGTGTGGTGCTGGGAGTATCAAAAGCTGTCAGGAAAACAAAACCAAGTAGTTCCACAATCACTGTCAGTAACAAAATCTTGTTTCCTACAAGTTCCCTCTTCAGCTCCCGAGACAGTCCACGCTCCGGGTAGAGCTTTTCTCTAGTCCCTGGATTCATAACATCTGCTTCTCCTATATTAATTTTCTCAAGTCTAACAAACTTGCACCGTCCCCTTTCCCCGGGAGGGAACTTGAATAGCAACCTTCTGGTCCTGGGCACCTATTTATATGGAAGTTCTCTCAGCTTTTATAATCCATTTGCTTCAGACGCCAGGCTAAAAAACTCACCATACACTCAATGAATCTGACTGGCACTCCGCAATCGGACTGTTTTACCCTGCTTCACTTTTAGGAACCACGAAGTTTGAAAGAGTGCTAAATCATCACAAGATGGCACTGCCACATGCTAACAGCCTTTCAGTAACTGCCCAGGAGCAAACCCTCACCCTGCGATACTGCACAGCCAACACGCAGGGATTTACCCCATCCTCTTAGCACTAACGACAGACAAGTCTCCTACACTCCTGATAGACAGGGCAGCCTGACTTTAGATGCCAATATTATTGCTTGACAACGGACTTTGAAAACTGCTCATGAGGCTAACCACAGGGGAAAAAATTATATTAAAATAATATTAATGCAACCACAACTGCTGTATACTATTACAACGATATATTACACAACATACTTCAACTAAGTTAGCTAATTAGCCCAGCATTCCCTCTCAAGTTAGAAAATCCAACTGCAATTCTGAAGGCCACGCAACTTTCTCCATGGAGGGACACGCACAGTAATAATTCTCAGAGGTGTGAATAAGCAGCAAGGGGTTCTGACACACTCTCATTTCTATTTCAGACCTGCTCCCTCCTCTCTGCAATCACCACAAGTCCAGGTGTTTGGAGGCTGCGCTCACCCTTCCAGGGTCTGGGCTCCCCAGTATGCTGGCAGAGCTGTGTGGGTGGCTGGATCACGAATAAGGTATTGATCCAGCCGAAAAATAGCCTGTTGCTTCAACAAATTCATAAATATTATAAATATATATACAAATTATAAACCTATAGTCTTCCCTGCACAGCTGCACAAACAATTCAGCTAGTACAACAGACGAGAATGAAGCAGCACAGGGCAGCTGCAAGCAGCCTGGGACTCTTTAAGCTGAGAGATACGCACAAAAAATATTTATGTCAGGTATGGCTACAGTATATTTGTTAAAAGATGAAGAGAAACTTATTTTCCCCTCTGTGAGTCCTGCTTAGACATTTCACTGAGTCCCAGCTGATGTGGACCTTCACGCTAGTTTTTGCAGTACTTTCTCCTCTCCTTAGGCACCGCAGAGATTTCTACACAAATGGATTTGAGCCAAGCATAGTTCCCAGAGAACTTGGCATTGTCACAAGCAGGGACTGTCTGCACTAGTATCTGCAAGTCACAGGACTTTTATGTAGATACCACCAAAACCTTAAAGTCCTTGTCCCTAACTCTTCCACAGGAACCCTTCCCCCATCTTTTGTCCTGGTGACAAGGTACTGAAGGACCTCTGGTTTCAAAGCAACCAAACCTACTAAGCAACCTGTCCCCTTGGCATGTTTTTCCATGTGACATAACGCTACGGCTCACCATATTTCCCATGACATGCCAGTCACATTACATTACACCCTGGAGACTGTGCCTTACATCGTGAACTACTCAGCAGCAGGACTGGCCACACTGCAAGTTTTGTGCAGCACAACCAAAGACCAATGCAAGCACTGGATCCCTTGACAAGGGCAGTGCTCCAACCTCAGTAATTCTTCAGCTGTACTCCATCATACGCCTCTATTGTACTCATAAAGTAGCCCCTATAGGCCTGCTGTGCCTGATACTGTAGAGATGCCTACAAGAGACAAGACAAACAAAATAAAAAAAAAAAAAAAAAGCAGATAGCAGTGATTTTTTTTTTTTTCCCCAATCACAGAGGTACACAGAAGGAAAGAAGCTGACTGGCTAACTAAATATGCTTTTCACATTTAAACTAATACCAAGTTTTAAATTCAGATGACCACGCACTGTGTCATACCTCAATTAACACTACATATTGGCAATAAGATCGTAAATTAAGCTGTAGCTAAGCTTTGTAAGACCTGTCACAGCTACATAACTTTTAGACCCCAAGATTAACCTGGAAGGCTGCATGTAAGATTCCCTGTGTCTATCACTAGTCAGCTTTTTTAATTTGCTTTTTCGCCACCCCTTTTTAAGGACAACCTAGAAAATTATTTTGAAAAGATTGGAAAAAAACAAACAAACAAACAAAGGAATAATAATAGAGGATAGAGAACATTAAAAAAATCAAAGGAATATTAAAACTGAGCTTGTTTGTATACACAGTTCTTGCATTTCACCACCTGTGAAGTATACACATGAACCAGTGTTTCCACACACAAGGGCAATACTGAGATAACTGCAATGCCAACACCATCACAGAAGTGTTAAACTGAAAACAGAAAGATACATAACTGTTTCAAGGAAACATTTAATAGAACATACAGGCAAATTTCCTTTTTTTATTGTTCTTCAGGCTGGGTTACCTGGTAGAGATGCACCACAAAAGAAACAGAAAGGTTCAGTTTTTCTAATCAAAACCCTGCAATATAGGCAGGATGTAATGAGAGCACAGTAACACAAAGCAGTGAAGTTACTGATGTCTGTTTGAGAGATCCAAAGGTACACGTCCGAACTTCCATCAAGAAGCTTCTGGATAAATATCTTGTTTGTACTTAAATTAATGGATTGTGCTATTAAAAAGGAGCAAGTTAAAGAACATGAAAAATGAGAATACACATATGTGAGAAGTAACAGCCACTACGGAAGGTTGCTTACAAAATTAAACAGATCGTTCATTCTCTGTAGGATAATATTACCAGCTGAAACTCAACCCCTTGGCTCTGATGGGACAGAAATTAGTCCTTTCAACCCACATTAAAAAAAAAACAAAAAAAAAACCCAAACAAAAAACACAAAACAAGCAAACAAAACCTGAAGAAGCAGATGCCAATTTCACTCTAAGTAACAGTTAGAAAGGCAGAAAGCTTTAACCGTCCTCTGTAGCACTTCCTCCCTTCTTTGCAAGTGGTTTTGTTCGGCCACATCTTGATACTCTGCCTGCAATGGGATTTGCCTGTGGATACTTTCCTGGCTCACTGTTCTAGCTGCAATTTCCATGATGCAATGCTTTTGTCATTCCTTCCACAACTTTGCTCACCAACCAAAATACGACACAAGCCTGCAAAAAACCACGGTGCAAGGAAAAGACGACATAGCAAGTCCTACACCTTTTTCAGGGGTTACTGCAGTATTTTCCTAAAATTTTTCTTCTCCTCATTTCCTTTGGAGTAGAACTCTGCGTTAGACTTAATTCAATGAATTGTTTCCTCATAAATTCTGGATCTTCTAACTATTTGTCTTCAGAGCAGCTCTGAATTTTGTGCCACTTCATAAATGTAATTAAAATGATGTTTTATTTCTTATTTTAGATTAATGAAGACTACTTGTTGACTAACTAAAACCAACCAACTCCTGCAACACCCTTCTAACCATTGTTTCCTCATTTAGCTCCTCCAGCATCTTATCGTTAACCTCTGTTTATAGCCAGTTCTTTAATCTGTTTTCAGCAGACAGAACAGTGCTCACTGCCAAGCCAATGCGAATAAACTTTGCAAGTAAAATTAATAACAAATGCTCTAAGAAATCAGGTATTCTTCCTACTACAACCCTTAATTTATTTTTTCTACCAAGAGCCTGACCCTGAATAAAGAAAAAAAAAAAAAAAAAAGCACGCCACTAATTTAAAAGACAAGTAATTCTGCCAGAACCATGAGTGAAGTACAGGATCAATCTGGTTAGCGACTGGATTTTTTCAAAACTTATCCACCATGATATCTGTCTTGCTCCCTTCCACAAAATCCAAGGTTTTTTTTATATACTGTACATGCACATACATTCTTCACTAAAAAAAACCAACCCAACACCCCGCTTAAATATTTATTCTTTAAGTATATAATATTTTAATCTTTCTTGTTATGAACTACTACAAGGAAATATTATACAACACATGATTTTAAGAATTTAAATCCCTCCACCTTACATCTATTAAGAGAAGAATACTTAATTTTCTAATTCTTTGGGGGAGAATGTCAAGATCATAAAGTTCTGAAAAGACAAATGGTACTTAAAATTTTGAATATGAAGATGACCTTTAATATTCTCTGGTATTAATATGCAATTAAGGAAAAAAAATCAGGGAAAACATTTCCTGATCAAAGTCTCCATTCTTGCTTAGAGATTCAAACCCAACTGGTTAACACACATTGCATTTTCAAAGAATATATAAGAAAACAAGAATACAAACAGCCTGGTTTTAAACAAAATCAGTAGGTTTAGAAAATGCATTTTATTAGATTCCTTAACGATTAACAGGTAACTCCTGTGAGCTTTATGCTCTTCACACAAGATAGAAGAGACAGAAACCAAGTTAGGCCCGAGGTATTTCTAGATAGACAACAAAGACTGACCAATATAATTTAAACACATTTATATTTGATAGGACATTTTAAAAGTCTCACAACCGGTTTGTTTTTTATTTTTCCTTCCAAACTTGTCTTCCCTGTGGTCAGTTTTTTGAATGACATCTTCTGCCTATAGCAGAGTGAGGAAGAGCAGTTTCTAGAGGCTCAGATTTTTAAAAGAAGCATTATCATTTCAAATTAGACAGACAGTTCCTTTTTCAGACAGTGAAGTAATCGGCTGCATCTTGAAAAATACAGATCAGCCATAGGAGCAGTGAGCACGGTGCATTTGAAACTGTTCAGTTTCCCCTGAACACCAAAGGTGAGAATTCAGCTAGGTAGTAAGTAAATTCTTGTCTCAATATTTGCTTAACCATTTTACTGCCACCATAAAGTAAAAAGGCAGATTCAAATAATATGATAGATGAAATCCAATCCCTAATAATATTATTTCTCTGACCTTTCAAAGCTGATGCCAGTTCTGCAAGTGAGACAAAGCAGACCAACTCATGCAAGTTTACATACAGATGCAGTTTTTAAAACCTTGAAGATTAGGTTCAGAAATCTGTATCTAAATAGACATGATCACTTCTGCAAAGCAAAACTAGCACAAAGTACGTCTGAAAAAAATATGAAAAAAAATTATTTTATCCACTTAAAGATAGAGATTACATTTAGACAGCTACTTTCAATAAAAACAGATTCCTGAAAATAGCCACCTCTGACAAAGAAAAGTGCTTTGAGCGACTGAAAAAAGTGTATGTCCCTCCCAGGGAACAAAACTGTGATAAAACCACAATAATCTCAAAAAGAACCGTTTTTGCTATTGTTTCAACTAACTGGTGCTACAGAGCATCAAACCTCTGAGATGATGATAGCAGGTCCATGAGTTAAGAGTTAGGGACTAAAGGCACAACTGGTACAGTACCTTCGATACACTGACCTCTGACATCCCCGTAATAATTCCAGCTGGGGTTAACAGTACTGCTCTACAACAGCCGGAACGGAGAACTTCATAGACAACCTAAATGCAGTTTCAAAAGAAGAAAACAGTAAAATGTCTCCAAGAGGGTGCAGGTGGGATAAGGAAGAAATGATGCAGCATAGATGAAGGATGTTTTCCTACTACCAACGGAGCACCAACACCTCTCCTCAGCTGTGCTCAAGAGAAACAAAACACTGCAGAGGTAAGAAGGTAACTAGACACTTGATTGCCACTATGGAAGCACTCTCTGCTACTATGGGTAGCATTAGGACAGTGGAGAAAGCTGGATGGGAAGAGCAAACATCCCCAACAGTCCCAAGAAAGCTGCTGTTGACGGGAACATAGGCAGGTTTTTTGTGCAAACAGATCCCAACATTCTTAGGGAGCGCAGCATTATATATTTACAGCTTTCGCTGTTACCAAGTACACCCACTCTTTACTACAGGAAGACAGGAGCTGTATCTCCAATCTACAGGAGTAATCAATTTAAATAATTTCCAGAGACACAAAGTGGGGGGGGGGGGGGCACGAAAACCCC